GTTGATTGGCTTGATCAGTTTGGGAGGCAACTAGGCAGTGGGACCAAGTCCTGTGCTCATTGCATGAGTTGGCTGTTTGAAACCTGGAACTTATGCAGGGACACTTGGCTCAGTCTGGGAGGAAGGGACTGGACCTCCCCTGGACTGAGTCTACCAGGTTGATCGCAGTCCTCGGGGGAGGACTTGTCCTGGAGGAGGTGGGAATGGAGGGTGGGCTGGGAGTAAGGGGAGGGTGTGGGAGGGGGAAGAATAGGGGAACCCATGGCTGATATGTAGAACTGAATGGTATTGTAAAATAAAAAAAATATATATATATATATAAAAACTAAGTTCAAGGTGGGTAGTGTGTATAGGGCCAGAGGACAGATATATGTGGCTAATATATCACTAAATTTATGGGGATGTGCTTTCCATCTCACCTTTCTAGGTGAGTCGGAGTTTCTTCCTTATGGTATTTAATATTGTTTCTTTGTTTTGTGCTTTTGACATCTTAACCATAATATGTTGTGGACAATTTCTTCTCTGATCGTGTGTGTTAGAGTTTCAAATGTTTCTGATGTTTGGAAACATTTGGGGAATTTTCTTGTGTAATTTTGTTGACAGAATCTTCATACTTTCTGCTTTTATCTCAACTCCTTTCTATATCCTTGGACTATTGGAATATTGAATATCTCAGAATTATTGCAAGTGTAGGTCATGCTCATTCTTTTCTTTATTGATGTTTGAATACATTTTTAGATGTATTTGCTTTTATTTATATGCATATGATTGTTTTGCTGGCATGTGTGTAAGGGCAATGCATACATGCCTAGTGCTTGAAGAAGCTAGGAAAGGACATTGGATGTCCTGGAACTGAAGTTACAGGAGGTTATGAGCCCATGGGGGCTCTGAGAATTAACCCAGGTCCTCTACAAGAGCTGCTCTTAACTCCAGCCATCACTGCAGCTCGGAAGATAATATTTTCTCAACCTTGCCCTGCAGCCCTGATATTCTCCCTTCTCCTTGGTCCAGTGTATTACTGATTATTTCCACTGTGCTTTTTCATTTGCTTTTGTTTCACTGAGTTTTTCATTCCCAAATCTTTATCATGTTGTTTTCATTCTAAATTTCCTTGCTGAACTTCTTTTCCACCTTGCTGTCTTTTTCATCCATATTACTAATTCCTCGGGTGTTCTTACCATCTTCTCTCCTGTGTGCCTGACTCTCCTCCCCAGGTCCTAGACTGATTTCCTTAGCGCATTCATCCAGAATATCCTTTTTGAGGTCATTCATCATTTTTGCTAGAAAACTTTTAAGATGCTCATCTGATCTTTCACCCATTTCCATATCTTCAGCAGGACCAATCCTGCTGTTTCCTGTGTGTCTAGGCCGCAGTTAAATGAGTCCTCTGCTTTCCCTCCTGCTGCTGGGGAGCCAAATGGCTGGCACTGTTTTCAACTCAGCCCTCTGGTTCGGGTGCATCATCCTTCAGTCTTTCTGTGCTTTCAGCTAGCCTATAATGCCTTGTGGACTTCCAAAGCTAAAGCTTTTCCCCTCTTTGTCTCCCTTTGGAATGGAGTCTACAGTTTTCTCATCCTTACTGGTCTTCAACAGACCACACAAAAATACTTCTAGTCAACTATCCTACCTAAAAGTTCTTTTTATTGTTTTTTTTTTTTAATCTTTGAGTCAGAATCTCACAATCTAGCACTAACTGGCCTATAACTCACAACATAGCCCAGGCTAGCCTTACACTGGCAGCAATTGCCCTGTTTTGTAATGCTCAAGTAATGGAATTAGCAGGAGTGAGCCCTAGCCAGGCCAGTAACTTGAACATTCTAAACCTCAGTCTTGTCATCTGCAGGACAGACATGAATACAGTTCCCTTTCCCATGTGGGTTCCTGAGGACTAAGACAGCAGACAGTGTATTGCTTTTCCTATGAAATTCACACCGAACTCTTGTGCAATCAACAATAGCTTTAATTATTACAATCAGTGTTCAGATACTAGGGACAGTCTCTCATCCCACCTTTGAAGAACCTGTCTTCAGGAAGGTGAGCACTCTACTCAGTTGTTCTCTGGGTGTAACACATCAAGCCCCAGATTTCCCTCTAATTTTCATGCTGTCCTTTAGCCCCACCCCCATTGGACCCACCCCATTAGCCCCTCCCTCTTTCTGGACATGCTCACTGTCTCCACCCAGCAGGGTTCCTGCTTAGCGAGGCAGGAAGCTCATTGTGAATCTTCGAGGGATTGTGCCAAAGCCGACATATTGTGGGGACACGTCTATGTCTTGGGGTGCCTGTGGAGACTTGAAGTGGAAGTTCTGCATAATGGTTGTGAAGAAGATGAAAAGCTCCATCTTAGCCAGGTTTTCTCCAAAACAGTATCGCTTTCCTGGAGAAGAGAAGAGGTAGAGGGTGGAAGTGAAGCCAATTGTCATGTCACCTCACCCTATGCCAGGCCGGCAGCTGGATTCCCCAAGGAGAAGGACCTGCAGCACTGTAGTCTGAAGGATGGCTCTGAGCCTCTGTACCCCTTGTACATGGAGGGGAGGTGACCCATGACAAGCTGGCACAATGAGAAGTCTAAATGCCCCTCCAACTAATAGACTCTCAAGTATGGCTGCTCTGCTATCACCTACTAAATCTTGTCTATGACTCAGACTCAGCCTGAGCCTCGATTTTTCCTATCTCTGAGAGGGGTTTGATCATGCCTCTCCTTTGGCCTGAGTCCACAAGGAAATTGCATTTGGTTGGCTGGAAGGCAGACTCCAACAGTAAATTCCAAACTGGAGACAGGTCCAACACTACACTTGAGAGAGAGGAGCCAGGAAGTGTTAGCCCTGGGGGTATGAACAGGGCCCTCTTACCAATGGAAAAGGGCACAAAAGCATTGCTCTTCTTAAACTGCCCCTGGTCATCCAGAAAGTGCTGGGGGTCAAAGTCGTTGGGATTGGAGAAGAACTGGGGGTCCTTCAGCACAGAACTCAGTATGGGAAAAACATCCGTGCCCTGAAAGAGAGGAGCCATGGAGACTGATGAGGCCGGATGAGAGATGAGCATCCTCAGAGATCACAGGATTGGAAGGAAGAGGAGAAAGTTGAGGAAGAAGCATCAGGGAATGAGGTTAACATGCCTGGGACAGGTTCTCTTGGAGAAGTGGCAGTTAGTGCTTTCTAAGATCATTGGAGCAACACAGACTCTGTGTCTCCTGGGACAGGTTGTTGGGGAATGAGCAAACTCGTGTCTATCAATTTAGGAGGTCCTGGGACTGGGAGGTTCACACTCCCGGACACAGAAGAGGGTTTGGGATGCTTAGGGATTGTATGCCTTGGCAGAATGCTTAGAGGATAAGAGACTCTTTAGCATAAGAAACAAGTTCTAGAGAAATGGGCTCATGTTCCTTACAACAGGAGTTTGCTAAACATAGGGTTGATCCCTGGACAATCTGAGGGAGACCCAGGATCCAGGGGACTCTGAGCAGCTCGGCTGAAAGGGCATGATGAGGGAGCAAATGTTTGTTTGAGAAGAAAGGACAGTGCGGAATATTCCTGAACGTTCCTTCAGGCTGGGCAGAGCAGCACCTTGGGTATGAGGAAGTCCCGAAACTTGATGTCCTTGGTGGTGCTACGAGGTACACCTAAAGGAATTACGTCTACAAATCTCTGGATCTCATGGATCACAGCCTCGGTGTAGGGCATCTTCAAATGGTCCTCGTACTTGGGCGGCCGGTTCCTGCCAATCACCTGGTCAATTTCCTCATGCATCTTAGCTGAGAAGAGAAGATATGCTTATGTGTCTAAAAATATAGAATATAGATTAAATATGCAAATCCAAATGGTAATGTGGAATTATGGGTGGTGTCTTGTAGATCATTTGCAGTAGATGTTGGCCATATTTGGTGCTGGAGTAGGGTTCCATTAACCTTCTTGGGCCAGAATCACATGCATTTGCAAAAAGAGACTTAGAGAATAACCCAAGAAGAACAGATAAGGGACCTTGTATGATGGAGAGTAGTTTACAAATTGGTTCAGACCTTCACCGTGTTTAAAACAGCTAGTGAGACTCGGCTTAAGATGAGTAGTTTGCAGGGACAGACTAGCACCCCAGGATCCCCACTGATGCTGCGCTCCAGACATACCCTGCTCTAAACAAGGCAACCAGTCAAATGCATCCCAATGACCTGAAACATCACTATAGCAACATCGTTGAACATAACCCAGAACTAGAGCCAGTGGACCAATCCAGCCTGAGCAGGTCTTAGGTGCATGCTGAGTAAAGCAAATTGTATCTTTGAGTGAACTTTTAGGGAAAATGACCCATTTACCATCTTATGCCTGCATGTGATTGGACATGCCCATGATTAATACTACATGCACTGTGGGAAACGACATGCCTAATTAACAGAGGCTTACATAACTCAAGCCTATCAATCAAAACACAAAACTACCCACACCCTACCCCTACCAATCAACTCTTCCTCTTCTTGAACCCACAAAGGGAAACCCTAGACAATAACCAAGGCTCCTCCTCAGCAAATCCTGCTCAGCCCACTGCTCCTCTGCAGTGTAGCTATTCATTTTGCTTTCCCCTTGAATTGGAAAATTCCCTCAAGGCTTTGCCATTTGTTGTACTTCTTCAGAAGAAGATGGTAAGAACCTGGAGAAGCTGGTCAGATGGTGATCAGCACTAACAAGTGGATGTCTATCACATCAGTCTTTCTCCTGTCTCTGCATATCAGAGACTTTCTGAGGACCCAGAGATCTGGGAGAGCTGGGGTTAGGGTAGCCCATTTCTGGAACATTGTGGGGCGGGGGTATGCGGCCTCCACTTTCCTGTGCTCGGTAGCCTTACCTGCAATGTGAGGGTTCTTCATGAGGAGCAGGAAGCCATAACGCATGGTTGTGCTGACAGTCTCTGTGCCCCCGAAGAAAAGGTTCAGTGTGGTCGACAACAGGTTCCTCATGTGAAACTGAGTTTGGGGGTTCTTCTTCTCCTATAGGGAGAAGAGCATTTATGATGAGTCCGTTATCACTCCTTGGGGAACTACTGGAAGTTTCCCTTGGATTCACTTATCTTGGTTAAGATTAAGGTGGGAAGAGAGACCCTGATCAACCAGCTCTCCCCAGGTGATGGTTCTTCCCAAGAACTTCTTCCTTGGTCTTTTCCTGGGTGAATCTCTGTCCTTTTGCTATCAACTTAGTTGGAAGTTGATTAAATAGTAATGATGTTTTTAAAAAGAGGAGGGAAAGAGGAGGAGGTAAGAAAGGGGAGAGAAAGAGAGGATAGAGACAAAGGGGTGATGAAACTTAGGAGCAGTTCCTATGAGATGGAGAATCAGAATTTGGAGTGGAAGCATCTTACTCCTTCTCAAGTGTGTGTGTGTGTGTGTGTGTGTGTGTGTGTGTGTGTGTGCGCGCGCGCACGCGCGCGCACGCGCACGCGCGCGCTGATTATTTGAGGGTACATATGTGCATGTGGATGTCCATACCCATGAATATACATGAGGCAACCAGAGGAGACCATTGGGTATCTTCTCTCATTTTCTGCCTTTTTCCTTTGAGACAGGGGTCTGGCATTGAACCTGGCTGACTGTCCAGCAACCTTTTGGGATCCACATGTCTCCACCCTCCAATGCTGAGAAAGCAGGCACCCATGGCCATGTATGGCTCCTCATGTGGGTTCTGGTGATTCAAAACCGGGTCCTCACACCTATGCCGTGAGCACTCTTAGCCCCTGAGCCTCTCTCCAGCCTCACTTTTGGTCCTTGGAAACACAGATTACATAAATCCTCATTTTATTTCTTAAAGATGGGGAATGGACATACAGGTGAACATGAGGCCCCTCCGTGATCACATTGTGAAGCCAGGTCACCTATTCCCATGGGTATCTGAGGACCAGGGTAGGAGAGATTGGAGACAATGCTGGTTAAAGGAAGGACCCTGCCTTGGAGCCACAGAGACCAGGTTTCAGCCAGAGCCCTCTGCTCCCTGCAGCCTGACCCCAGACAAGCAGCCTAGCCTGACCCCAGACAAGCAGCTTAGCATTTTCCTAATTCTAGACCTAGGTACAGAGTGGAATGTGCTCCCAAGTCAGTGTTGGTTCTAAGTGGGTGAACATTGTCAAACACTGAAAACCAGCGCCTGGCACCTGGTGGCGCTGTGGGGGTGGCTGGTGTGCATGTTTGCACACACTTGTCCTCTCATAAGGGCTCAGTAGCTGGGTGAGTGGCATTAATCATGATGAGAGGGGTGAGGATTACTATGCTGGGAGCTAACGTGCATGATCCTCTGCTCCTGCCCCACCCAACCCCAGGCTTTGAACCATCCACCAACAGCTACTGGGAGCACCTCCTGCATGCGGATGAGGAAGGAGTCGATGAAGTCCCGGGGGGAATTGGGATCCAAGGTGCGCTGGTTCCGTTCCACCTTCCTGGCTATGAAGTCCTCCAGCCCCTGTATCTCCTTGTAGGCCCGCTGCTGGGGTCCTGGCAGGTGCTTCATCACTGAATAGAACATCTCAAAGAGCTGGGATGGGAGAGAGGAAACAGTGGGAGGACAGCTGTCAGCATCAGGACCCAAGGGAATGGGACCTGAGAAGGAGCAGAGAAGGCTTCAAAACCTTCCTCTGCTTCCTAGGTATTTAGTTGCTGGTTGAAGGGACCCACATGATTATGTTTCCATGTGGGTTTATCCACAAATTTGGGTAAGATGAACGGGGGCATATCTGCAGCATCAGTTATTAGGGTAAAAACTGATAAAGGCAGAAACCCATGTACGTATTCAGCCGAGGTTGGATGGAAAGACATCTTGGTGTGTCATTGTTGGGTGGGTCTGTTGTGGCAACCCCCAAGTGGCTAGGCACTCAGAAAGGCCAGGCTGGCACAGCTTTCCAGATAACTGTTTGCATTTGAGTTGTGGGTTGCTATGCATGTGTCTAAGTATTAAGTGAGGTTGTTTGCCAGTGTCACAGTGGAGAAAACTTGGGTGTAAGTGTTTGAGTGTTCAAGTGCATTGCCTAGAGTACTCCCGTGAGATTCACTGAATGGCCCTGGCTGGAAAACATGTCTGTGAGTGTGTGTAGTTAACCTATCCAGGTCATTGTGTGTTTGGAGTCTCAGCTGAGGCACCTGTTCAGATTTTCACTTATCTATGTGGACTGAACAGGTAACCCTTGTATGAATATTTTTAAAAAGCATTTGTGATGCTTACTTTAATTATGTGTATGTGTCTCTGCATAGGTGTGTGTACATGATTGCAGGTACTAAAGATGTTGGATCCCCTGGAGCTGGAGTTTAGGCTGTTGTAAGCTACTTAAAGTGAGTGGTAGGATATAAATTTAGGTCCATTTCTCTGAGTGTGAAGTCATCCAGAAGGGCTCAATAGTAGCAACTGTCAGAGGTTACGGTAACTGGATGGATGGAAGGGCTGTGTCTATTTGCACGCTCTGATTTGGTTGGCATCTATTGAGATGACCAGTTGCCATGGGGATTCCATATCGGTACCTTTCTTAGGATTTGATCTCATTATTTAGCTGTCCAAGATGGGAGCGTATCTGAGGAGATCATGTCCAGAGAAGGATGTTTGGTGGAGGCACTGGTGGCCAGGCCAGGATTCTGCGGGAGGATTTCATAGGGGCTCCAGCTGAGGCTCGAAGTGGTTACCTGTCCAGTTGAAGTAGCTGTGAACTGGAAACTCCGCATCATCATGCCCAACAGCGACAGGAATTCTTTGTTGTCGTACTCAAAGCGGTCCCCAAACACAATGGAACTGATGATATTAGAGACGGTTCGGCTCATGTAGAAGGTGGGATCTATATTAGCACCTGCGAGTCAGGCCAGAGTTGAAAGGGAAGGAGGTTGGAGGAGCAGGGCTCAGCTGACGGCAGTGTTAGCACCAGAGATTGGTGCCTTTCCCGAAGTTCCCACTGTCCGTCTCAACACGTGACTGTGGTGATATTTTATTTGTGCTGAAATGTGGTGATATTTTAATTTGTGCTTTAATAAATAAAGCTTGCCTGGAGATCAGAGGGAAAAGGCCAGCCGTTATAAATAAACAAAGTCAGGCAGCGGTAGCACACGCCCTTAATCCTATCACTTGGCAGGCAAGATCTCCGCGTGTTCAAGGCCACACTGGAAACAGAGCCAGTTGTGGTGGCACATGCCTTAATTCCAACACGAGTTAACCATGGAGGTCTGGAGGTCTGTACAGACAGACAGAAAGTGTCAGAGCTGGGCAGGAAGAGGAAGTGATGTAGCTGGATCAGATGGCAGAAGCAAATCAGAACAGCGAGGCATATGTGTGTGTGTAGACAGGAAGTAACGCGCATTTGGAATCTGCAGAGTTGGTGAGGTGAGGCTGGCTGGTGGCTTTCCCTATTTCCCTGATCTCTCTACAGCCTTCATCCCTATATTTGGCTCCGTGTTTTTTATTTAATAAGACCATTTAGAAATTCATCTACACATGACTCTTCAGAATCTGCTATTTCTCTTATGGACTCCGTGACCCTCCACCTTACCATTTGTGTCCCGAAAGGCCTGTATGAGGAAGCCCGCCTCCTCTATGATCCTCTCCTCGATGCCACGCTTGCCGAAGCCGAAGTCCCTCAGTGTGGAGATGGAGAAGCGCCTCAGTTGCTTGGACCGCTCCCCGGAGCTCAACAGTACACCTGGGGAACCAGACACCGGCACCGGAAGAGGTTAGAGAGGTATGTTTGGGCAGTCTGGTCCCTCTGACAAATTCCTGGAGAGTGTGGGGTTGGGCAAAGGGCTGGAATGGGAGAGGTGGGTAAAAGGAAGAATGAGAAAGCCAGGGAGCTGGGAAACTTGAGAAAGATCCAAATTCAGAGTGAGTGTCAGAGACAGAGACACTGAGACAACAGTAAAAAGAAGAAAGAGGAACTGGAGAGACAGCTCAGCAGTTAAGAGCACTTAGCTTCCAGCTAATCAGAGTTGGATTCCCTGGATCCATGTGTTAGCTCACAGAAGTCTGTAACTCCAGTTCCAGGGAATCCGATGCCCACTTCTAGCCTCCATGGGCACAAGGAAGGCACATGGTACAGGGACATCATGCAGGTAAAACAAATATAAAAAATAAATAAAAACAATTATTAAACCAGGCGGCGGTGGCACACGCCTTTAATCCCAGAATTTAGGAGGCAGAGGCAGGTGGATCTCTGTGAGTTCGAGGCCAGCCTGGTCTACACTGAGAAACCTTATCTCAAAAAACAAAACAAAATTATTAAATGTTTTTTAAAGAGAGAGTGAGAGGCTGTGTCAGGATAGATGGCAACACAGAGAGACAAGGAGAAAATCTAAAGGAAAGACGGAAGAGGATCACAAGACATGAGATTTGGATGGATTTAAAAATCGTTGACTAAACTGGCTGTGGTGGTATGCCCTTTACTCCCAACACTCTGGAGGTGGAGGCGGGTGGATCTGAGTTCGAGGCCAGCCTGGTCTACAGAGTGAGTTCCAGGACAGGCAGGGCTATTACACAGAGAAAGCCTGTCTCAAAAAACAAAATAAAAATAAAAATCGTGACTGAACTAGATAAAAATCTAAAAATCTAAAACTAGATTTTTAAAACTAGATAAAATCTAAAAAAAAATCTAAACTGAACTAGATAAAGAGAAATATGGGCAGAGTCTAGAGACATGGGTCTCTAAAACAGACATCAAGTAAGATTTTCACAGAGGAAGAAGAAACAGAGGGAGGGGTTGCTGGAGAACAAGCACATTGCTAAGAGTAACTAATTGAAAAGATTCTGGGATGAAGTTGAAACCTGAATTACGAAACAGGATCCCAGCAGGCATTAAGTTGATATCCCTGGGAGGCCTGTTCCTTTCGGAAGGAAAACAGAGGAGCAGTGGGTTTTGGGGGGTGTGGGGAGTGAGCTGGGAGGGAGGGAGGGAGGGGAGCATTTGTTTGGCATGTATTGTATGAGAGAAGAATGAATAAAAAGAGTTGGCATAGTCTGGGGCTGAAGGAATGATTCAGTGGTTAGCAACTGCTGTTGCTAAGAACAGAGTTCAGTTCCACAAGCACCTGTAACTCTGGCTCCCTGACATCTGATGCCCTCTGCTGGCCCTCATAGACACAGGTGCGTGGTACGTGTGTGTGTGTGTGTGTGTGTGTGTGTGTGTGTGTGTGTGTGTGTGTGTGTGTGTTTCCCCGCGTGCGCGCGCGCGCGCGCGCACGCACACAGAGTTAAAAATAAAGCAAACCATTTTATTTAAAAACAAAAACAAACAGGCCAGAGAGTGATGGCGCATGTCTTTAATCCCAGAACTTGGGAGGTAGAGATAGATGAATCTTTGAGTTAGAGGCCAGCCTGGTCGACAGAGGGAGTTTCAGGACAGCCAAGGTGGTTATATAGAGAAACTCTGTCTCAAAACAAAAAACAAAAAAATTAAAAAAAAAAAAAAAAACAATTTTTTTTTAAGTCTGTAAGATCCGGGAAGGGATACCCAGGAAGAGAAATCAGCAAGACACTAACAGAAACACTGAAATGCAGGGAGAATAGGATGTAGAAATTCTAAAACAATTCAGAGGTACACAGAACAAATTAGCATTGAACAGGCAAATGGATCAAAGACCAGAGAAAGAGCTTGGAGTGTGTGCAGGTGAGTTGGGGAAGACTATGGAACCTGCAGCCACACATCTGTCTGGCCTAATCCCCCCACTGTCACCTCACCATAGCCTTTGAAGAACCAGTTCAGGAAAGCTTGCTCTCCGCGGCCACCGAATTCCTCAGCCTGGTCAATCAGAGCCTCCTTCACTGCGTCATACCCCCACAGTACCACAACAGGACGAGACCCCAGGTAGATAGTGAACACAGGACCATACTGCTCCCTGATCTGCGAGAGTGATGCGAGGAGTTAGTTATACAAGTCATTCTTTGAACTGCCCATGTCCTGATGTCAGGTACTTGGGATGCATTAGGAGCTGGCTATCACACCCCTACACCCCCTTTCCTATGTCTGCATTCTGACCTAGTCAGTCTTCTGCCCTGGAACCCCAGACACACTGAGCATGCTACGCACCCCAAACTCACCCCTCTCCCTGCCCAGTACTACCTTTGAAAGAGAGTCACGAAACTTCTCTGTGTCCAGTTCCAGGAGGTTCCCAATGAAGGGCAAGGGGGTGGGTCCTGGAGGCATCTTCCCCAACAGTCTCCTCTGCCTCCACACAGACATTATGATCATGATGCTGAGGCAGGTCAGCACAGCCACCAGGAGCATCCCTGAAGCCAGCATGGTGGCAGTGAGAGGGACAGGTAGATGATGACCTGGGACAGTGAGCCTTTATACTCTAGGCTGAGGTGAGATTTTGGCTCCTGTTTAATAATTTCCTCCCAACTGTTGCCTTGTCATGCAACTGCCTTGGTTGTGACACCAGCAGGAAAGAAGGAGGAGGTGTCAGCCTCTGGGCTGGTTTTCATGGAGTGGATTCTAGGAGAGGAGAAAGGATGCCAGGGTTGCGTAACGGAATGTGAGTGCGATTAGGAAACTTCCAGAAAGGAAGAGATACCTACATCTGCATGTAAAGCACCCAAAGAGAGGGTTGAGGGTCTCAACTAGAGAAAGTACTTCACACACAGGGATTTGGGGTTTTAGAAAGAATCCAAGGGTTTGCATTTTGATTGCACAGGACATGCTTGCTGTAGAATTAGACACTTTTGTGAGAAGGCACGTAGGTTAACAGTATTAGGAGGGGAGATTCCAGGGTCACCATCTGAAGATGTGGGGTGAGTTGAAGAACCAGACCTGTGGGTGTGGAGTTCCTGGCAAGTGACATATATGGAATGTCCAGTAGAATCCTGCAGTCAGAACCTGGGTCCAGGTGTTCATCTTAGCTTTGATGCTGTACAGTCTCCCAGTACCAAGAGTTCTTTAAAAAGCCGCATAGTGAGGCCATGATTGACACCGTATAACCATATAACCAATATTTTCCAAAGCCCACATGTGGGGGGAAAGGGGGTTCAGGCTAGAGTCACGTGACTCTGGAACCTTACACAGAGTTGGAAGGAAGGCAGTGAAAGTTGCAGTTGGCAGAGGGGTTGACCTGGTCTTACAAAGCTGTGATACCAGCCTCCAACCGCCACAACTGCCCCCAAAGTTCCCAATTAGTTTTTAGTTAAATTAGATTGTAAAATTGCTCACACAATGGTCACAGTGACCGGTTGCCTTCAAAGTATGCTTATACCTATAGCTCTGGTTGCTCTCAGCCTTTCACCGAAGCCTCTTTTTACAGTAGAAAAAAAAAAAAACAGTGCAGAGACACTTAATTGGCCCAGGTGCTGGGAAAAGAACACAGAATGTCAGCCCTAAATATATGGGGCATCTTTACCAACTATAGTTGTGAACTCAGGATATCCCTTCTCTTTGCTGGCCTCAGTGTCCCATGTGGCCGGATGGATGTTATTGGATGGATAGTGAAGAACATGATTGAAGCTGAGGTTAGGATCTTAATCTTATCCTGATGTTGTGATGTGACCCTGAAAAGGGGCCATTATTGTCTGAGCCTTATGGGACCAGTGACAACATCTTTCACGCTATTTCAGTGGATCATGTACTAGTGAGGTCATGAAAGTTACCAACAACAACAGAGGTGCTCAGTAAATGGCAGCTGTTTAATTTTGTAGCTAGTGGAGTTTACTAATGTGAAGCTGGCAGAGATTTTCTTCATGGTCTCCTCTGGCTTTCACCTCCTCTAGTCTAACTATCCCAAAGTCTCTTCTTTTGGGAGGTAAGAAAGGAGAGGAGGAGTATTTCAAGAAGGACTCACTCTCTCATCCTCCCTCACTCAGCCAAGGCTGCTTTACTGCATTTGAGGGCAGGGAGCTTTCCCTCCCCATGGGAGACAGAAAGACAGAAAGGAAGATTGGACACCACAGGAATCAAGAGGGGAATTCAAGAGGAGGGAAGAAGACTAGCAGGTGTGGGGAAAGGGAGGACAGAGAAATGGAAGTCTATGGGGGTGAATATGGTAAATGTGTAATATGAAAGGCTTTGAGTCTTCATGAAACTAGAAACTATGTGCAGTTACTTACACCAACTCACAGGATATAAAGCTGAGGAGATATCGGCAGCTGACAGCTGCTGGGAAGGAGAGAGCTGTGTTCTCTAAGGGCTGGCTCTCTACATTGACCCTGCTCCAGAAAATACCCACTCATCCAAGAGTATATGAGAAGCACCAAGTGAATGTGGGTGCCTTAGAGGTTAAGAACACTTGTGGCCCTAGAAGAGGACCTGGGTTCCACTCTTAGCATCCACATGGTGTCTCACAACTGTCTGCAATCCTCTTCCAGGGGATCTAACTTCTTCTTATGACCTCAGTGGGCACCAGGAATGTGCATGGTGTGTATTCATGCTTACAGGCAAAATACTCATCATATAAAACAATAGGATAAAAAGTGTTAAAAGAGGACACAGGGAGAGCTGAATGGGTAGGAGAGCTGGTGTGGATCTAGGAGGAGTTTGGGAGAAAAGAATAAATAAGATAAACATATTTGAAATAATCAAAGAACCAATACAAATATATGCAGCCCAAAGAATATGAAGAAAAATAAAGACTGAGTATAAGAAGCAAATAATGATATCAACAGTGAAGCCCAGAGAGGTAGAGGGAGAAACAGACATGGACAGAGGCCGATGTTGGTAGACAGTTACTGACATACACAGGAGGGGAGAGTCAGACGTGAGAGTGTGAGATGAGCTGGCCATAGACATCAAGAGACTCTACAGACAGGAAATCAAAGATCTCCTCTTTCTCTCCTCTTTCTCGTCTTTTTCCTTCACTCATGCCTCCTTTCTGTCTCACTCTCTGTGTTCATCTTCTCTGTTTCCAACACTGCGTTTCTGATTCCACTTACTCTGCTGCTGCTCATGGGCAGTGCCCCTATGGCTTATGTTCAGGACCCAATAGGTGGTCTCACCCTGCCCCAAGTTCAGCATCTGAACAGCAGGGAACTGTCCAGGGCCCCAGTGGCTGAGCTCAGAGATGCAGCATGCAGACAACTGGGGCAGCCCAGGATGAGTCCTCTACCTTCTTCATTTCTCCTGAGTTGGAGATGATGTCAGTGACAGATGATGTCCTGAATAGAGACTCACTGATCACTCCTTCACAGCTCTCCAATAAGGCTATTGTTGTTATCATCATCATCATCATCATCATCATCATCATTATTTTCTGAAGGCATGCAATGATGACATCTTCAACCCAGTGGACCACCAGCTTCTCTAGGTTGGAATTTGGCTCTTCATGGCGTGCGAATGTGTGGAACCCTCTCCATTGAAATTGGTAAATGATTCTGTGTTGAATCAACAAACAGTGAAAGATCCCTGGGCTGGTTAATTGCGCCACAGCTGTGAACCTTGGCAGAGGGGGGCCTTTCGTGACTGCTTTTGGCAGACTCATAGTCTCTTCCAAAGGGTCCTTGGCCAGAAGGACTGAACAGTGTTGGGATTTGGGCTGAGATGTCATTGCCAGCCCTTACTTAGTGTGTCCTCTTGATCCAGAGTCAGAGAAAAGAAAGAACTTGAGGAAGGGTCCTCCAACCTTGGAGTTCTGGTCTACCTACCCAAGCTCCACTTTCCTTTCTTTATCTCTGGCTAGCGTGTCTGTCCTCTGACAGGCAGTCTGCACTGTCACGCAAACAACATGTTGCCAGAAGCAGTGACGCAGCTGACTTCCATCCTGGAGAGCTCTCCTCCACAATGTCAAATTACTGGACATGTTTAGGTAAAGCCATGTGAGGTTTATATTTTGTAGAAAGCTCAGTATTTCTGACATCTGCCATCTCAGCTTATAGAAAACAGAGCTGAGATGTAAATGAAGGAGAAATATAAATGGAACAAGGCTCTTGATGTCATTGAAGTAAGGAGTGGGAACTGGAGGGATGACTCAGCAGTTAAGAGAACCTTCTTTTGCAGAGGACCAGAGTTTGTTCCCAGCACCCCAGGAGGGAACACAAACACCTGTAACTCTGGTTTCAAGTGACTTCTTCTGGTCCCCTCAGCCACTGCATAGACAGGGTGCTCACACGGATAAGCAGGCACACACGTGCATATCAATTAAAAAATGAGTAAATAAATTTGAAATAAGACACATAAGAAGATAATAATATGATAATTTATGTGGCAACAAATTAAATAACATAAAGTAATAAACAAGATTTTAGAAATGTACAAAAAAAACTAACTGATTCAGAAAGAAATTAAAATATCTGTACAGACCTATATTGAAAAGTAAAAATAACAATAACAAACAAGTCTATCTAAAAAAATTGTCTAAGACTTGGTGATTTCAAAATTGAATGCCATCAAATATGTTTAGAAGCACAAACACCAACTCTTTTCCATTTTTCCAATTAATTCAAGAGGGATTATTTCCTAATTCATTCTAAGTTTACAGTCTCTAAAAAAAGTGGACTAAAAAACACTCAATAAACTACTAGGTGTTAAAATTTAGCACCATATAGAAGGGATTATACAATTATATGACAACATTATACAGATAATGACAACATTAAATTCATCCTGGAACCACAGGGATTGTTCTGTGAGGGACCCCAAAACAACTTGACCATACAGCTACCATGACAGGCTTAAAGGTCCAGACACAGCTTCTGGCAGACCCCACTCAGTGGGGCTTGCATCTAAGGAGAAATACCTGAGGCCCAAACACAGCTTATGGCAGGCAACACCTGGACCCAGGAAAAGCCATGCGCTAACCCCACCCAGTGGGACTTACATCTAAGAGGAAATGCCTAACATTCCAAAACCCTATACAGCTAGACAAATGTCAGCCATTCAGGGTCCTGAACCCTGGAAGTCCCCTCACCTCAACCTCTGCTATGATAAAAAAAAACCCACCCTGCTGGGGTTTGAGCTCTCTGCTCTCAGAGAGAGAGAGAGAGAGTTCAGAAGATAATAAAGGCTCTTTGCTTTTACATTCGGGATTCAGTCTCTGTGGTGGTCTTTTGGGGGTCCCCTCAAACTGGGTATAACAGTTCAATGTGAGAAAATTAGTTGAGTGACAGAATCAATATTAGAAGAAAACTCTCACACACTTCTCTTAGCTGATGAAGAAAAAGAATTTGGCAAACTCTAAAATTCTAATGGCGCTAGGGAGATGGCTCAGTCATTTGATTCACACCACCCATATAAAGGGTCACAACAGTTGGCTGTGATGGTTATGCCCTCTTGTGGTCTCTGTGGCACTGGGCATGTATGTGGTGCACAGACATCATGAAGACAAAACACCCATGCACACAAAATAAGTAAATAAAAAATTTTTAAAATCTATTACATTTATGTTACCTAACATGTTGGTGAAGAATTTATCATAGTGTTCTCTTATAATCCTCCTATTTCAAATGTATTTACTTGTTTTTTTATTTTGACTAATTTTCTCTCATATATTATGTCCCGTCCACAATTTCCCCTCCCTCCTCTCCTGCAAGCCCCTTCCCTAACTGTTCTCTCCCCCAGATCCACTCCTCCATTTCCCTTCAGCAGGCCTCCCAGGGATCTCAAACAAACAAGTCATAGTAAGTTACAATAAGATCAGTCACATCCTGATATCATATCAAGGCTGGATGAGGCAACCCAATAGGAGAAAAAGGGTCCCAAGAGCAGGCAGAAGAGTCAGATACAGCCTGCTCCCTACTCCCACTGTTAGGAGTCCCACAAGAACACCAAGCTACACAACCATAACACATGTGTAGAGAACCTAGTGCAGACCCATACAGGCTCCCTGATTGTTACTTCAGTTTCTGTAAGCCCCTATGAGACCTCCTTAGTTGATCCTGTGATGCATGTTCTTATGGTGTCCTTGACCCCTCAGGCTCCTATAATCCTTTCTTCCCCTTTTCTTTGGGATTCCTCAAGCTCTGTCTAATGTTTAGCTGTGGGTCTCTGCATATGCTTCTATCAGTTGTTGGGTAGAGCCTCTCTGATGATGCTAGGCTCCAGTCAACCAGTATAGCAGAATATCATTAGGAATCATTTTATTACCTGTTTGTTTGTTTGTTTGTTTGTTTGTTTGTTTGTTTTTTGCCAGTCATGTTTGGTTCTATCCTATGTCTCTGGGCTGCCCAGCCTTTGGTTCCTGGCCCTCCAGGCAGTGTCAGGTGTGAGCTCCCTCTCAAGGTAGCATGGGTCTCAAGCTGGACCAGTCTTTGGTTTGCCACTCTCACAAGTTCTACATCACCTATACCCCAACACAAACTGCTGAGTGGTTAAGAGTGCCTACTTATTCTTTAATTGACATGCATGTGTGTGCCCACTTATCTGTCTGTGCACCATATGCATGCAGTGCCTGAGAAGGCCAGAAGAGGACTTCGTTCACTTGGAATTAGAGTTACAGATTGTTGTGAGCTGCCATATAGGTGTAGGTGGTCAACCCTGGTCCTCTGCAAGAACAGCAGGGGCTCTTAACTGCTGAGTCATCCCTCCAACCCCCACTTCTTATTCCCATGACTTCAAGCACAATGTCCCATTTATACTTCTGCTTCAATCCTTAATGTCTCAGCTCTGTTTTCCATCAGTTGAGCTGGCAGATGCCAATTCCATGGATCTTCTACACAATCAAAACCTCACACAGCACCATCTAAATAAAAACAATTGACATTTTAACGAGCTAAATGTCATTCTCCACTGTTCTTTAATGAGCCAGGCATCATGACACACACCAGTGATCTCAGCACTCAGGAAGGTGACACAGAAGGATGTGAGTTCAGGAGTTTGAGAGCAGCCTGAAAAAGAAAAGTGACACGGTATTAAAAAAAAAAATCCCAAAAAGTTGAACTTGCTTTGTTTTTAGTGCAGGTTTTAGTGTTTGTTTTCTCTGTGCAAAGATTTAAGCAAGACGACTCTCACATTCCCATTCTCCTTCTCACATTACTTTCCCATGTGGTTTCTTCCACTATGCACGCTGATTTACCCACTTCACAATGGGGGCATACATGAAAACATCCATGGCATACCATGAATATATTGAATTTTCATTTCTCCACCACAAAGAATATTTTAAGTGGGGGCTTTAAATTTCCACAGACTGATAAATTTTTCAGTTTCCCTTGTTACTGATTTC